TCAACAAAACGAAAATCAAAATGTGAAGTCCAAGTAGATTATCAATTAAATGAAGCGAAAAAATATAGTTGCTTTCGAACTCTCTTTTAGTTGAGTTTGCGTATAGGGTTTTGTTAGTATATTTTACTTATTTTTTAAGATGTATAAATTATTACACAGAAATAAGATTTACTCAATACACACTTTCAGATTGTGCCAGTAGATTCTCTTGTCATAAAAATTAAAAAAAAAAAAGTATATGGGTTAATTAATTATTTATGTTGAAACTAGGGGTTGATTAAAGAGACAAAGAAATTGGATGAGGAAGGAGGTAAGAAAATGTTGGGGAAGAAACCCAATGCTGCCGACACCTTCCCCAATCCATTTGCTTTGCCTTGTCCACATTAAGCAAACCTCCTCTTTTCATGCTCTCTTAAATAATTAAATCATTTTTAATTATTTAATTTGTTGGCCACAATTTCTTGTTTAATAATTTTTTGATAAAAAAAAATTCACTTTGTTCTATTTATTATTATTAGTTAAATCAATTCCTTTTTTTTTTTTTGTTTATGATCTTTAACATGTTTTATAATTTTTAAATATGATTTTTTTTTTTACATTTAATTGTACATTCACTGCTGGAAATTATATAATTTTTGACCACCTGAAAGGCTAAAAGTGATCTTAAATCAAGTTGAAAGTAAAAAGTGGTGGGGAAATAGCAACAAAGGTTTTTCCGGATACCAAAAGTGGTCCGAACAAAACTTTTGACTTGATTTAAGATCACTTTCAGGTGGTCGAAAATCCCATAATTTCTAGTAGTGATTTGATGTAATTTTCAAATACACAAATTGTATATATTAATAACTAAATATTGCAACAAAAAAAAAATTGAATTGTAAATAATTTGAGTCAAATCTCGGTAACTCTATTTGACACATAAAATAGGAGGAACGAAATAATTAAGAAGTAAATAAATTTTTTATAAAGAAAGAAATATTAAGAAAACAACAACAAAAACAAATTAAAAACCATTCTAAACGTATGGAGACCAAGTTGTGTGGAAACATGTGTCACAATTCAATTTGTACAATAATTAGTTTAGTTTTGAATATGATGACTAAGAGCAACTTCATTAGGAGTAGTTTTTTTATGATTTTTGATATGCTAATAATTAAGAGAGAGCTAAGAGGAGGGAGAGAAGAAGAAGAAGAAAGATGAAAAAAAAAAAAAAAAAAAAAAAAAAAAAAAAAAGCAAATCAGATGCAAAAAGAGAAAAATAGTAACCTTGTTAACGTGCCATCTGGCTAGCACGCAGTTGGGCGCTATATGTGCGCGAAACGCACTTAACTGCGTATTTCCTATGTTGTTTCTCTCTGCTCAGGGCCCACAAAAAATCAAAGTATTGCATAGAGACCCAAAAGCTTCTCTCTCATCACCCTCTCTCCTCCGTATAAGCTGTCATTCCTCAAAAACCACACCAAAAATTTCTATTGGAGATGACCTAATGCATGTGTAATATATGCATGGGATCATATCGGATCTCCTATCCTTGCTTAAAAGTTGACAAACTGTATTCACAACATGTATATTTATTGGTGTATATAAAATCAATAGTTGAAAACTTAATTGGCCAACATTAATATCGAGGACCAATTTGATACTTTTGTCATATTCAAAGGACTAAAATGGTAATTAACTGATATATACCACAGCCCTTCAAGGATCCATAAGACCAAAACCCTCTTTCTTGGCAGCTAAACAACTGTGAGATCAACACATTTCACATCTCCATGCAAATCTCTCTCGTTTTTCTAAGCTGGCCATGTTCATTGTCTCAATCCAACCCCCCCCCCCTTACCCCACCCCACCCCACCCCCTCAATTTATGGTATATATACACAGTCCACTCTACCCTTTTCCTCCCAGGGTCCAGCTCCAAATTGCGGGCTTTTTTCCCCTTTTCTACCTTTCTACATATATCCACCTACTTCTTTTTCTCAACTATACATACTCACCCTTTTTCACCTTCTTTGTGTGCTCCTTCAAGCTGCAACTATGGCTGTTCTGGTGATGAAACAACAAGCCTGCAAGAATGGGTCAATCAAGATCAAGAAAAACAACAACAATAATAATGGGTTTTCAAGAAAGTGTGCTTCTTTGATCAAAGAACAGCGAGCCAAGATTTATATCCTCTGCAGATGTGCCTCCATGCTTCTCTGCTGGTCTATCAATGAAGATGATGATTAGTAGGTGGCAGCTAGGTGCATGTATATATATCTATATATATGCATACAAGCACCACTATACATATACATACAATACCCTACCCCCATCATCATCATCCTTCTTCCTCCTCCACCTATATTTCCGGGTTTTTGACTGAAATATGATAATTTTGACAGATGTGAACAAAAATAGGAAGATTTTAAAAATCAGACAAACCTCGAGAAACCTCAGTGGGACTGTCCCATTAAAGTTTTTCCTAGATTTGTCCAGTTTTTAAAACCTTCCCCATTTTTGTCCCGTCCAAGTCAAAATTATCCTATTTAAGTCGAAAAAAACCCTATATTTTCTTCCAGCTTTATAGCCCTGACAAAAATATATATGCAGATTCATGCTATGTTATCGTCTGGTTTCATTCATCCCCTTTTGCTGGATCTTTTCCAGTAATGCCATATATATTTCCTCCTTTTTTTTGGGTGTCATTCTCCTTTTTTGCCTAAACATTAGGTTTTTTGGACACTCATAAGAGATGAGAGGAGAAACTAAAGCTATATGGTTAAGGATGTCTGCTAGCTGAGCTGATTGAGGCTACTTCACAACATCATCAATATAATAGATCCGAGAAGGAAACTCAGTTGAGCATCATGAGCATCTGATCTGCAGTATATATAGTACTCAAATGGCTATTATTTATCACAAGGGCTTGATCTTATTCTCCATCAAAATATGTGTATCTTTTGTCTCCTTTATTGTTGTTCCAATTACAAAAAAGAAAGTAAAATAATGTTGTATGTAAAAGTGTAATAAACTTTCTTATAATAATACCTCAATTAGTTTTTCTTAAGCAAATTTTTTGATAACCCAAGTTTTCGATTTTGTCCGATGATATTCTAGACTCATGAAGAGAAAAAATTCGAACCAATATAATTTCAAGACTCAACACCAAAGTATATGCTCCTGCTTACAAAAATCTCAATTTTTCTCAAGTAATTTTTGTATAACTTAGGTTTCCAGTTTCGTCAGATTATATCCTAACTCCATGAATCTGCCCCAGCCAGACTCATACTCATGATGAAGTAAATCGAAACTCATCACAATTGTTATATTGTGGGCCAGGGTCCATCATACGCATAGTAGTTCATATTATGTACTTACAAAATTATAGTTAATATATTACATACATTCAATTTATTTACAAGTAGTATATAATTTGTTAATTAAAAAAAATACATATTATATTACCTGCAAATACATAATCAATGTAAGATGAACCATGATGTACGTTATAATTCATGAACTCTACACCTAACTGTACAGTTCTGCTTACAAGAATCAAGTAAAAATTTTAGTTTTGAATATAAAGTTGAAGTCGCTGGATTTTATATTAATAACAACAGTTGTGTCGGTTTAGTGAATATTTGAGGATCTCTCCTCGGAGTATTAAATAAAAGAATAATAATAACGAACTAATGATGCTTAAGAATCAATAGATACGAAGAAGTGGCCTGGGCGGGCAGCAGTGAATTATATTAGAGGTCGGATATTGGTGTCTTCGGATGTCAAGACCGGCTGTGTCAGCACTGCCCAATCATCGGACTTTATGTCTTTAGTTTTGTCTCATACTCAATCCCCACTACTACTGCTGCAGATAATAATAATAATAGTTTATATATGTTAAATTCCATATAATTAATGCATGTTTATTATTTATCTCTGCTTGTATTAAACTATTTTCAATTGGAAGTCAAAATAATGAGCGCACATGAATTAAATTACATGATTCACAACATTGTATTTTAATTGTAATTACATATAAACAACTATCGAGTATATATAACTCAGTGGTGTAAAGGTTAAAGTGAGATCAATTTCAACGTACTTACAATTAGATCATTTAGGTTGTGGACGTCAATGTAACAAACTTTCTATAATTATTTATTGCCTCTAAGGTTGAGACAATGGTAGCTATCAGCTAGTAGGGTTGAAGAGTGAGGACTCAAATTTTGTAATTACATATAGGCCATGTTTGGTAAATGGTTGTTAACTGATAAGGCTAATTAGAGGATATAATTAGTTAATAACATTAGCTGATTGTAGAAAGGTGTTTAGTAACTTAACTGTTAGCTAATAGTTGTTTGGTATAATTTCTTTTTCTCAAAAAACTAATTGAAAAAGTTGTTTTGAGTAGCTTTTTGAATTTTGGCATTTTGGAGTAAAAGCTAATTAACCAAACACTTATATTAATTTTTAAACCAAATCAAACAATTAATAGTGGTCAAATAAGCTAAAATTGACCTATATGCTAACTATTTTACCAAACAGGACCATAAACCCAATGTGCATACTGCAAGGTGTGCCTTACACCTTTAATGTTGAACCAAATACTCACAAAGATGAATTTAATAGTTAAATGTTTAATGAAAAGAAAAATGAAAATTATTGATATATTCAAACCATTTAAAAAAAAAAAATTACTTGATAAATGAGAAGTGACAGTGCGACACCCACAGAATAGGGCAGAGCTGTAATGAACTACCTCCCTGTAAACTGTTGTCTCATCTTAGATGGAATATTCACAGCATGACAACTTTACCCCAACCTGGCTTAGGTTATCATATTCACAACCTTCCTAGATCCAATGTAGCAAACTTCTGTAAAATCACATGATGTCTGTCATGTCCACCATTACATTACATAAAAATAATAATAAATATACTATCAGTTTAAACGTTTAATTAAGACAAAACACATTCAATAAGTCGACAACTCAATGGAATGGAATTTGGGAAATATAGATTTATCATGAAACAATGGAAACCTTAGCTTGTTTGCAGATTCATATATAAAGAATCTTCGTTCGTGTAGCCTTTAGAAAGAATATTCGTATACAAAACCACATAAGAGTGAACAGCAGACGATATGAACAATGTGCAAGGATTATGCAACCTCTTAGTATGAAATAATGGGGAAAAAAGTTACAGTTCCAAGGTCTGGCAGAGGAAAAAGTCGGCACTTCTTGCAATAGCACAGCCCACTTGCCACGCCACGCCAATGTCCTTTGTATATCGCTTCCTACTTTTGTCCTTGGAAGACCACAAGTCGAGCTTTGTCACATTGACGGGAGGAATATGAACTGCTAAATTGTCTAAACAAAAAGGATACAACGTGAAAAAATACGTGTAGAGTCCATAGCATTTATGTCCAGAGCTTTACAGCTTCAAGGATCACCTATACGCTATTACCCATTTCTGCACAGTAACGAAGCATTCACTTCTCAAACGGACTATTGACACTTTGACAGTACAGCGAAGTATCCTTAGAGTTTATCTGCAAACAAGGAGACATTTTCCAAATTTAGAGCTAGTTGATGACAGGGAATCCAGATAGTAAACAATCAAAATGTTAATCATGCTGGCTGCTAGTGTATGCCCAGTTGAGTATTGCCGTGTAGAACCAATACAAGGCCAGTTGGATTTAAAGAGTCTAAAGTGATAATGCCAATAACTATCATACTAAACTGGTCACTGCCAAATGAGGAGGAAGTACAATAACGTAGAAAATTTTAAAAATAACTATGCATTATCAAATGACAGAAGAATCAAGGTTCGTGGATGTTATCATGTAAATAGTTTAATGGGATTCACCATTTGATTGATCATTATGTACAAAGAAGCTTGCAGCAACAATGAGATAGCATAGTATAAGCATGAGCCCTTTAAAGTAGTTTGATGTCCCTTCCTGCATCAAATAAAGCAAAATATCATACTGTTTCCTCTATACAGAAATTGGGGAAAATGTGCAAGCTATATGTAGAAATAGGAAGGAAAGGGGTGATACTTGGTATAATTATATCTCTAATGGGTATGCAAAATAATTACTAAGATAACTATCACTTTCGATTGAGAAGAACCAAACCTGCAGCATAAATGCCACCACTAGAACTGTGATAAAAAGTGTCGCAGTCTCAAAAAGTTGGAAGTTCAAATCCATATCCTTTCCCATGAACCATCCAACAACTACACAAAATGGAATCTGCATTTTTCAAAGGGACAAGCTTAATCAGTTCATCCATATTAGATAAAATATTTCAGCCAAAACATTGGTACTAGAATTCTAACGACAATCCTAAGCTAGCTGAGCCCCAGCTTATTTTGGAGCTTACCTACTCCAAAAAGTACAATCTGGGCCAAACACTGAACATTTAAAAAAATAAAATAAAAAGGCTTTTAATTTAATTTAAGGATAAGGGGGAAAGGTCTGTTTTTCAAGAAGCTCTAAATTGAGGCATTTTAGAAAAGCATCTTAAAAGATTACTCAGTTGGGCCAAACAAGTGCCAAAATGGAATATAAGGTCTTACCACAAACATTGATATCTGAGTGGACGACCCAATTGCAACTCCAAGCGAGATATCCTGCACAAAAAAATGATATTCATTACTGACTTCAGCATAACAAAGTGGCAGTACAGACAATATAGATTTTTTAAAGTTCTCACAAGCTTGTCTTTCATCGCAAACATGATTGCACTTGCATGCTCTGCAGCATTACCCACAATTGGAAGCAAGATGACACTTATAAAAGCCACAGGCATATTCAGCGTGTCAGAAGCTCCCTGGAAATAGAGAAAAAGAACAATAATCTAAATGTTCAGGACAAGTTACAAGAGAAAACATCTGCAAATCAAATCTCCCTCTGAATCAGAGAGAAAATTATTCAACTAATCACAACCAAAGAATCTGCTTGAACTAGAATGGCTTTTAAATCTAATTGTTCTGAAATTCTTAACTCAACAAATCAATATATAATTTGGTCATTAGAAAACATCTGGGAGGAGAAAAGTCCAGGATACAAATAAGGGATCAAAGTGCCAGAATAATGTAAAGGCACATGATAGTACAGTCCAACCACAAATGGCTACCAAAAATACCAGATGTGGAATTTTGTGTTTGTGTATCAAAAGAGTAAATCGTTGTTTGAGCTATCCTGAAGCATACTAATTTTAAATTTGAAAATTCATGAGATAAGTAACATCTGAAAAAGAAGAAAGAAGAGATATCTGACTCTATATGTTAGACTAAGCATATCTTAGAGAAGTCCAAAACAGAAGTAAAAAAGAATATTCTACCTCAATGGCATCAACAAGATAACCAGATAATACAGAAATCCATATAGTCAAAATAGCAAGCCAACCAATAGCTTCCCAGTGTGTGATCTCAGGGGCTTCTTCTTCGTCAGGATCTTCTGCATTATTTTCTCCTTCCTGGACATATGCCGATGCAATTAAACAAGGTGTCAAGAATATGCGAAAAACATATTCTGAAAGGTGACCACAGTTCTGGGTCTGAACTGCCAGTTCCAAGCCTGAACCAACAATTCAGCACAGTTCTGGAACCAGCACTTACCCTCTATAGTAATTATATACATATACATATATCCATATATAAGGCATGTGGTAGAATATGATTGAAGCATCAGCATATTGGCAAATACCTTTGAAAGAACTATACCACAACTGTAACAGAAATAAGGAACACAGACAACCTATAATGATGACTAGCACAAATATTCACCTCATCAATTGAAGTGTATGAACTTCTCTCACTCTTGAGCTGAAAGAATAGATAGCTAGCATATGCCACTAGCATTATGCAACTGCTAAATCTGGAAAGAGCTAGCTCTGACTTTCCAAAGTGGACCTCTGTACGAGTGAAGTGAAGCACTGCAGGAAACAATAAGCCCATCACTGCCATCAACAATAACCCTGAGTTGACAATAGCAGTCGCCTGCAATATCTCAATGTGTATTAGTTGACCCAGAATCATTGAAATTGTAAAAGACAAAATAATCAACTCCAATTTATTAACTCATATGGATATCGTCTACCTTGTTGAAAACCTGGACTTTTTTGTGGTGAATAATCCCACCACTGAAGAAGGCACATCCAAGAACTAGTAGCATATTCGATAAAATGGAACCCAGCAATGATTGTTTAACAACCCTTATCATGTCATTCTTCAATGCATATATTGAAATTATCATTTCAGTTGCATTGCCAAAAGTAGCATTTAGAAGGCCACCAACTGCACATCAAAAGAAATATGTATGATGTATCTATGATGAGTGCCAGGAAAAGCATTTTTAGTTATATAAAAAATGATTGAATTTCCCTGGCTAGATAATCAAAGTAGTGCCAGTACGTGAGAAACAATACCTGTTGGCCCTGTATAAAATGACAGCTGCCTGCAGCATTAAGGTAATAAAAAGGTAAGACATGTTTAGTTCATGGAAAATTTTCCATTTTTCTGGAAAAATAGAAAACAAAAATGAAAAAATAGAGTTCATGTTCAAGTTGAAACATTCTCCAACTGAACAAAAACTGGAAAACAAGTTTCCAACTTTCTTAACAACATTAGATAACAGCTTTGTGTTGTTTTCCAAATGGAAAAAGGCTGATGAACAGTATACTGCCCACTTGCCTTTTGCTTTCTGCCTGTTCAGCTGTTTTTTCCCCTTCCAATTCTCCAACTTTGTTTTCCAATTAGAGAATGAAAATTGTGAAAAAGGTCGAAAAATGGAAAACATTTGCCATTACTAAACAAGCCATAAATGAGCACAGGGAAGAAACAAACAAGAACAGAATAGAATTAAATTTTGAAGACAAAATGTTCTCCATATTAACTTACTCAGTAGCATATCCTAGGCGCTCAGCTAGTGGTATAATTCCCAATAAGCTGAAGAAAAAGACCCATGCCTACAGCATAAGAGAGAACCATAAATAGCAAGCTATGGATCACATTCGTGTGTGTTAATTATGTCCTAATGCTAATCAGAAGATGCTGAGTTGGAAGGGCCAAAAAGGAATCTTACATGTTTCCCAGTAACATGGTGCAGCAATATTGCTAGGGGGCCAAAAGGAAGCAACACATTGATCTTTGCTTTGATTAAAACAATGTAAATACTTCTGAGAACACTGATCTGACGCATCTTTCTCAATAATCTTGTAGAGACAAAAGCTCTAGGTGATGCAATATGATTATGAGGTGCTTCATAATGCAAAGTCTCCATTTTACTTGCTCCATGAGATGAACTAAGGGGGACCTCATCAGATTCAAGATCAAAACTTTCTTCTCCAGATCCCATCTTTGATCTTTAGACTTCCCGCATCAACAAACCATCCAATGCCCGTAAAGCACAGAACTTCTGTGGCAATACATTACATGATAAGCTTCAATCAGGAGCCAAAAGAATGCCCTTTACCATAAATTTGCTAACTCTTAGTTTACCCAATCTTGTCAGAGTCAGACCAACCAAAATAAATATAATCCAATCACGCCAATAAAATCATAGATTAGACGTTAGCAAGACAATCAAAAGTAAATACAACAAATAAAACCAAATCGGCATTAAACGCATTCGATAATTTCTACCTAACCAACACGGGATAAATACTCTCAATGTACTACAGATTACAGAGTGTTTCAATAAAAATGCTTAATCAGAACCGCGCAATCGATTCAACCACGAGTCAATGCGAGTGAGCTCGAACCAAAACGAGCAGATCAAGTTTTTTTCCTAAAAATTCAAATAAGCCAAACCCCAGCAGGAAACTGAACTTTTACCTAGCTAAAGAACAAATTCCCTAGCCGCAACCGATTCCTCTTTTCAACTGATTTCAACTCCCGGAGCCGAGTATCAACGAAGTCAACGCCAAAAATCACGAATAAATAACTAAATATACGTATCTTATCTATATGCATTCACGCACATACACTGTATCCAATGCTCAATATCTGTGCATAAATATGTATATGCAGAGATAGAGAGAGAGAGAGAGAGGGAGTTGAAGCAAGACTTGTTTTCTTCTTGAGAGAGACGACGACTGGCGTTAAGATGCCGGCGAGTCGGCAAGGAAGACCAGAAGAGGGGGGAAATTTGAGGAGGACGAAGCTTCGTGGAAACTGCGATAGCGCCTAATTTGTATTTTGTACAATTTAATTAATCAACAAATTAATGCGCTAAATAAATTATAAATAAAATGTCCTTTTGAAGAAAGTGACAGTGTGAAATCAATCACCAACTCCTTTGACAGTTTACTTAGAAGCTGGATTTAGTAACGTCCTCTTTATAAAATTTACGTTATAACGGAAAATCCCGAAATAAGATAATAATTGTCTATAATTGTAAAAAATTAGGTGAATATATATGACAATCTCAGTTATAAATATTACAGAGTATAATATTTATTACTCTGTATTATTAATAATCATTTTATGTTAAATAGTATCACAATTTTACATATAAGTATTATAATTCATATTATAAGTAAATTTCTATTTATTTTAAATTGATTGATAATAAATTTTATGTAATAAGTATCATCATTTTTCTATTATAAGTAACAAATAATTATCATAATTTCGACACATTTCACATATTAAAAGATCCGTGAGACTGAGACATGTGACTCAAAAATATATTATAGAATATTATATAATATATTAAGAAAAAGAAAAAAATGTTAAAATAAATTTGTAAGTCGAAAAAATAGTGTAATTATAGTTTCTAATTAAAAATAAAACATTATATTCAAACCTTTTAAACATATAAAAGAAACTACAATTGAATCTTAATATTACTTTGTTAATGATGACTAGTATTTTCACTCGTGCGATGCACGGAATTAATTTATCATAATATATTAAGAATATTTGGATTGGTATATAATTATATAAATTATAACATCAAAATATTATATAGTGCAATTGAAGATATGGATTTGATCGATTATGTTTTATGATATTATCATTGCTTTAATTCGAACAAATAATTATTGAATTAATAGCTATGTTGTATTTACACATACTGTAAATAGCTAGTAATTTTACAAATGTGTGTTAGTTGTATTAGTATATCATCGTTTAGCAATTTTGCCATATTGAGGAAAAAAATAAAAAAGAACATAATATCACCGATTATATTTACACATTATTAAAAATCTTTTTGTAGACAGCATTGGTAGTAGCAACACAATTTTGTCCATCATCGTCTTTAGTTAACACCTTCAGGCCATCAGGATGGGTGACTCGGTAGAAAGCCACGTACAATTGACCGTGATTAAAGATTGATTTTTTTCAGTAATAATCCAATCGATTTCTATTACCATCATTAATTATTTCATAATTTACCATAATTAAATAATTTGACAAATACAATAAGTTTGAGGGAGAAAATGCTAGATGGATGATTTTACTTTTAATTAATTATATATAGATAGATATATAGATTGTCCTATTGTATTATGAATATGAATTTTAATGTAGAATTATAGTACGAATAGGAAATTAAAGTAGGAAACAATATATTCTATTAGGAATTCTATTACACTATTTTATAATATTATAATAGGAATTTTAACTTAGAATTATAGTACGAATAAGAAAGTATAAAACAATCTATTTTATTAGAAAGCAAGATTTTTTAAGAATTGGGCGAAAAGTTAAAGTTCAGGATTTTATTTTTATATATACTATAGATATAGATTATAATAACAAATATTATATTGTGCAAATGATGAAATGGGTTGGATCGATTATGTTTTTTTAGAAAAGAAGGGAAGGGGGAAACCCAAAGATTACATAACTGGCTCAGATGCTTGTCGCCAGATTGATAGTCCAAATCTATCCTCCTCAAGAATTTGAATCAAATCATCTGGGGCATCCTCCAGTATAATGGTGCCTCTGTTGAAACCAGACTTTTTGGCTATACGATCTGCAGCTCTGTTTTGTTCTCTTGTCACTAAGGAGAGGTGCCATTCAGATAGGTGGCCAAGTTCTCTTTTGCAGGCGTGGACAATATTGCTTGCAACGCTATCAAAACTTGTGCCTAGATTAACAGCTTCAACAGTACTTGTAGAGTCCATCTCGAAGCATACTTGTTTTAAGCTTTGTGAGTTCGCCAATTGGATCCCTTTTAATAAAGCCCAAGCTTCCGCAGCTTCGGCCGAACAAACTCCTATGCCATGAGAGAACCCCTTGAGCCAAACACCTCGATCATCCCTAATGAGATCCCCACATCCAGCTTGGTTGGAAGCAGGTTCGCAGCACCCATCGACATTAATCTTTACCCAACCTGTGGGGGGTTGATTCCATGTTAGTAGTTTCCATCTTGTGATGATGTTTGCAGCCCCCGTTTTCCTAGATCTTGCAAAGGCATCATTTATCTCTGTTGACTGCATCTGGATCCAATAGCTCTTGTAGTTAATCCCAAACGTCCTTCCATTGAAGACTCTGTCGTTCCTCCACTTCCAAAGCCACCAAAGGATCGATTATGTTTTTTGATGTTATCCTTGCTTGAATTCAAGCAAATAATTGCCTAATTACCCATGCGATGCACGGATAAAATTTTTATTATATATTTAGATAATAAAATTAAAGATGAAATTATAAACAATTCTAATATTTGAAAATGTATATTTATTTGATTATAAGATTAGTCTAAGTTACCAGGACTATGTGGTCTAATGGTACCCGGGTTGGACTTCCATTTGGAAGGTTGTAAGTTCAAGCCTCACATACTACCCACTATCTATATATATATATATATAAGGAACTCTCTAGAATGCCACCAGTATGTTTTCCCTTTCCAGATTCGATATTTATCCGAAATATATATATATATATATATATATATATATATATATATATAAAACGGAACCAACGGTTATATATATTCATATGTATCTACGAAAAAGATATACCAATATATATTAACCAAAAATTGGAACTAATAATCCTCAGATTATAAGTCCAATCCAACGAATATATCAAAAGAGTGAGAACAGATTTCCAACGAATATATCAAAAGAGTGAGAACAGATTTTTGCTTCAAAGCATAATCCAAAACAAGAAAGAATGAGAAGGAAGAAAGAATAGTACGAGTTAGGCGAAGTGCCTTTCTTTTCTTAAAACCTTATTTGCCACCCCCCAAAAGTGCTAGGAGCATTGTGGCCTAGGTTTTCCAGGATAAAACGTACAACGGTTCGACGTTTGAGCACCCAAACGAGCGAACCCGGTGAACAAGAGCACGGGCAAAACACAGCTTCAAGAAAGGAGTAGAAGACACAGCTTCAAGAAAGGAGTAGAAGCAAAAGTATTTTGAGGCTGAAAATTTTCCTCTTGGCACAACACCCATTCGAGAACAATTGGATGGGTCGTCCCGCGCACACGAGATTCGATCTCATTCTGGGATTGGGATTTGAAGAACAATTAGATGACGACATTGTGCCCGCAGGTGCCGACGCACACGAGATTAGGCTTGACCCAAGCCTTTTCGATCTCATTCTGGGATTTGATTTGCAATCCCCCCCCCCCCCCCGCGCGCGCGCGCGCAAAAGAGAGCCTCTATGCTATACAATTCAATAAGCTTAAAAAGAGCTCTTGTATAAATAGTGGGGCAAATCCTCTTCCCAAACCAATGTGGGACAAAATCTTACTTTTTCCCTTCATTTTCCAACTCAAACGGGTCTACTTTGAGAATCAATATCCGTTTTGAGCGTACAATATATCAATTTTTTCGTCTCACTACGAAGAACCCGAATCCACTTTGACACGACCCAAATCGGAAGTGGACCCCACTGATAATTGTACCACAAAATAGCCACTTAATATGTCATTTTAAGCTATTTTTTCCAACATCTTTCGCCAACCTAACGATTATCTCTCGTCTTTGTCTAGTCTATCGCTCTATATACCAGTCGTAAATTCATCTATACTGTTCTTGAGTTAGAGATCTGGAAATCATACCTACCTATTTCTGAGCTACCGGCGACGATTCAAAAATTATGAATATGAAGTTCAAAAATTATGAATCTATAGCTTTATAATTATGAACATATAGTTCAGTAATTATGAACATAGAACCTTGTCTACCTTGCAAGGTGGACACGGTTCCACAGCATAACGATTACAAATAAGCTATGTAGCTATATTGGTTTGTGCAATTAGACCCTACTTCAACCCACATATGAAGAATATGGTGATAATTGTGACAAGAGAACCTACTTCTCATTATAGTTGATGAATGAGCAACATTGGTGATAGAGTTGTCTTCGAATGAGATTCAATCAAAATTCGATTAGATTAGTTTTACTTTTGATTCTCGAAATATATGAATAATAGTGTAATATGTAAAAGAAGACTATTGTATATTTATACAACATCTTATCTTAGTTTGTAAGAATAGTTAATTTATTTCTTAACAACATTTTTTAGCCCCGCTAAGTTATTCTTTGTGTCATGGCGCTGCATACGTCCAGAAAGTCTCTTAAGCAAGCTCGCTCCTCTAAAACCACATACCCCACTCCACATTTTGACCCAAGTTGTCCGAAGGAAGTCTCTTAAGCAAGCTTCTCTAAGATCCCTATTCTATGTACTCCGTTTTATGCTTTCATTTTTTTTTTTAGCTTTAATTAATCATTAATTAAGTTGTGAAGCTATAAAAAGTTTTACTTAACTCTTTAAAATTTTAAGAAAAAAATAAATTAATAGAACCAAAAGAGTTGGCATCCATGTTAGTTTAAAGAGGTTGACTTGTCATAAGATGGCATTAACACGAGGACTAAAATTTTTACATGCTGGAAGTGGATGGTAATGTTCAAAATACAAAAATTATACTATAAGTAATTTGATAAGTGTCTAATTATCTATAAATTTGACCTTTATGCGGCAGATTATTCTTGGGCAGTGAAGGTAGCAACTCTGGTTTCATACAGCGCAATGAAAGGGTGACATAACATATTCATTTTATGAATGGGGTAAGTTGAAAATTTTTAAATTTATATCAATAGGTTTCAAAATTTGAAAATTTAAAACACTACCAAAAAAAAAAAAAAAAAAATCTTTCAATGCCAATTATTTTAGACATACGATATGAGTTATTTTTTGACATATTTCTGACCGACATAAAAAATAAATGATAGGTCTTCATCGTATCTTAAAAAATAAATTAATTCAATTGTTTAAATTGTTTCACACCCATCTTTAATACATAGCTTTTAACGACTACACACTTACACTCATCTTGAATGCATACGGAGTAGTTTTTATTCTTTAATTAATAATTTGAACAACTACTATCCACACTTACACTCCAACAAGAATTTAAAAAATTAAACAAAAGTCTTAGTTGAACCCATGTAAGAGGTTAGCCACGCTTGCTAACCTAACTGACCATAGTTTAAACCCAAGACGGTAGTCAGGACACATTCTTCTTCATGCACGTACCAAATGATATGTAAGAGTTCAAAATTACATCCATTGATCAAAATCAATATCCTTTCTAATAAACCTCTCAGGAATGAACTCGATCAGTTGAGTTATCCTACAATCCGGAATCTCTCCTAATGGTCTAGACACTAACAAGCACTCGGGTGCCATTGAAAAATAATCAAATTGTCACTGCATTTTTTTAAAAACATTATTCAATTTGGACTGTTGATTTCGACAAAATGAATAGCTATCATCAACCACACGTTTCACCTGGAAACCCCTTCCCATTTGATGTGTATATATATATATATATATATATATATATATATATATATATATATATTCACAAAATTGTTTTGGCCTCCAAATTCTTAACAAAAATTGTATCCATGAGTTGTGCCATTACGCACACCTTCCACCGCGAGTCCACGACGTCTGAAAATCCTCATCTTCATTACTGCAACAATAATGGTGAAATTGGTTCTTCTTCTCCGATTAGAAGTCCTTTTGTTATTCACCCTCATTTCTCTGCCCAAATCACTTTCTCAACGGGGTAATTTAATTCATTAATTACTCCTCTTCTTCTTGTTCTTGATTTTCTGCAGTTTCTTGCTAATTCTCCATTTTTTTTGTTTTTTGTTTTACAGCCTCGTTTTATCTGGATTTTGTGGTGGATGCAGTCGAGATGCCGACGGAGGACTACTATGATTACATCGTCGTCGGAGGTGGCACCGCCGGTTGTCCACTGGCGGCGACATTGTCGGAGAGATATAAAGTTCTGGTTCTTGAAAGAGGCGGCGTTCCGTTTGGCGATCCCAATTTGATGACCCAAGAGGGGTTTCTCGCCACCTTGTCGGAATTCGACACCTTTGATTCCCCTGCTCAGCCTTTCATCTCCGAGGATGGAGTTCCCAACGCACGCGGCCGCGTTCTCGGCGGGAGCAGCGCCATAAACGCCGGTTTCTACAGCAGAGCCGACGAGGAATTCTATGGCAACTCCGGGATTAACTGGGATTTAAATCTGGTGAACCAGTCATACGAGTGGGTGGAGAGGGCGATCGTGTTCCGGCCGGAGCTCAAGAGCTGGCAATCGGCGGTGAGAGATGGGTTGCTGGAAGCCCGGGTGAATCCGTATAATGGATTCTCGTTACACCACGTTCTTGGCACCAAGATCGGCGCGTCCACTTTTGACAACTCCGGCCGCCGCCACAGCGCGGCGGACTTGCTGTTCTTTTCGAACACCACCAACATTCGCGTGGGGGTGTTCGCCACCGTGGAGAGGATTCTCATGGCGTCCACTGTTTATTCTCCGGGCACGAATCAATCAGCGATCGGGGTGATTTTCCGTGACCGAATGGGGCTGTTCCACCACGCTATGGTGAGGGAACGCGGCGAGATCCTGCTCTCCGCCGGCGCTCTCGGTAGCCCGCAGCTGCTTCTCCTGAGCGGCATCGGCCCGCGCCTCTATCTCTCTTCTCTCGGCATTCCGGTGGCCTACCACACCCCTAACGTCGGCCAGTTCCTTTACGACAACCCAAGAAACGGAATTTCCATCGTCCCTCCAATCCCTCTCGAGTATTCTCTCTTACAGGTGGTCGGTATCACCGGCGCCGGCTCTTACCTCGAAGCCGCCTCCAATTTCATCCCGTTTGCTTCCCCTGTCAACTCCGTCTTCATCCGGGCTCCCGCGTCGCCGGTCTACCTCGCCGTCGCCACCCTCATGCAGAAAATCTCCGGCCCGGCATCAGTCGGTTCGCTCCGGCTAGCCTCCCCGGACGTCAGGGTGAACCCACTCGTCCGGTTCAATTACTTCAGCGACCCCAGCGATTTGCGGAAGTGTATACGCGGGGCCAGGAAGATTGGGGATTTGCTGAGAACTCGATCCATGGACATTTTCAAGTTCGATCAGAGGTTTGGTGGAAGGGATTTCCGGTACGTCGGGCCTGCATTGCCGGTGAACCAGTCAAATGATGCTCTTATGGCGGAGTTTTGCCGTCGAACTGTTAGTACCATATGGCATTACCACGGCGGCTGCGTCGTCGGAAAGGTGGTTGACGGTAATTTCAGACTCCCCGGAATTGAGGGTCTCAGGGTTATCGACAGCTCCACTTTTAATACTTCTCCGGGGACCAACCCCCAAGCCACCGTTCTCATGCTTGGACGGTATGCTGGTTTGAGGATTCTGGCAGAAAGACAGAGATAGAAAGGAAAGTGTTTTCTTTGTTTTGGTGTTTGAGATATGTGTACTTCACATATGGTGGTGTTATATGTATAAAATGTTTGAGTGGAAAACCTTTTCATAATTGGTTGCTAATTGAGATGGATTTCTATGTTTATATCTCTCTATTTTAATATATTATGGATGGACTATAGATATATAGTTATTTATTGGTTTGAGTCGGTCAATTTAGTATAGTCTTAGAGGTAATTTTGAATTTAGTAAGTTAGACTTTTCCTTATGAAAAATGAAATTAAAGCTACTATAAGAGCATTCCCATCAATGGATTTTGGTCGGGTTTTTTAGGCAATACATTCTAGGTTGGAGTGAGAGAAGAAGGAAAGAGAAAATTTTAGTGCCTTGTAGGATAACTCACTTTTTTTGTCTCAGACGTGGGTCCATCGAACAAAACAATAAATCTGTTTGTGTGTGTGAGGCGCACTAAGAGCGACTAGTCACACCTTAGAGATGCTATAATAAAATTAGGGTTTTGTTTTCCATACATGATAAATAATTGGCGCAATAGTCATGACATTTTAATTTTACCGTTAATATTAACAATTTACACTGGGAAAAGCTAATGGTTGAGTGGATTACAATTGATGATTCAATACTTAAATGACTAAATTTGATGATTTTAATAGTTAAGAAGTAACATTGAAAATTAGTGATAATTATATCATGTATGATAAATCACAAAATCCATAATTAACTTATTGTTATCTTAGGGTGTGTTTGGTTCGCACATAGGAATCGGAATCGGAATGGGTATCAAATACTTGGTAATGGTAATGGGTTTTGGTGAAAGTATTTAACATGTTTGGTAGTAGGGTGGAATGAGAATGGTTACTAATATTAGTGCTTGAGAATGAATAAGGGAATGAAACCCTTATTGTATTTGGGTATGAGTTTTTCAATTGATGGGGTATTTGAAACTCATAGTAGTGGGGTATCAACCAAACAACAACAATCACTTTCATACCCATTCCTATGGACAAAACCCACCAACCAAACACACCCTTAGTGTAGTCATTTATTTATCAATTAAAGCCACAATATAGGATTCACTTAAAAGTGCATCTTTAGATAATAACTACACAACTACATGTATAAAATAGACTTTCGGGTGAAAAATATTAGGGGCTTAAATAGAAGGATATTTACGTTAAAGGACTGTGACGCAAATATTAGAATTTCATGAACTGCCTGCTTTCTATTCGCGCAATCTCTCTAGGGTTTTCTTCGGGTCGTCTCGCGCCATTATTGCCGTGTACTGTAAGCGGATCCATCGGTTGATTTCCGATAGATGGCCGGCACCGGAATGCACCCGTACCACCAGCAATGGGCTCCAGCTCCGGCTCCCGCTGCAGCGCCACCTCCTCCTCCGCCGCACGTTCCTTCAATGCCCCTTAATGACCCTAATCGTCCCCCTACCGACGAGGTAACAGCGAAAGCACATGGAGATTTTCTATTTATTGTGTGTGTGGAAATTTGATGCTTTTATGCTTGCTCGAAACAAAGGTGCGATATTTGCATGTTTTTGACTCTTTGGATTTTAGGTGCGTACGATTTTCATCTCCGGGCTGCCGGAGGACGTGAAGGAGAGAGAACTCCAGAACCTTCTTAGGTGGCTACCGGGTTACGAAGCATCTCAGGTCAACTTCAAAGGCGAACACCCCATGGGGTTTGCTCTTTTTACCACTCCTCAGTTCGCCATTGCTGCCAAGGATGCCCTTCAGGCAATTACTGGTTTTTCTTATGCAATTTCTATTCATAATATATATACATATTTTTCCCTTATTGAGTACATGGTGGGGATGTAGGACATGGTTTTTGATGCGGAGTCTAAATCTGTGCTGCATACTGAGATGGCCAAAAAGAACCTTTTTGTTAAAAGAGGTAGGGGTCTCAGGTTTCCATTCTTATGTTTATGGTTCATTGCATACAATTCATGCTATCTGTGGAATAAGGCACACAATAACATAGCTGGAAAAAGTGAAGTACTTATTGTGCTAGGAAAATTTATAGTTGTCCTTTATGCACACTATGTTATGCTGTTGAGAGAAGGATTCTCATCGCAGATAGATTAATTGTATTAGTATACATGGTTAGAGATGCATATTCATTACCCTGGAAAATCTGAAATATTAGAATTGTAATTCAATGGAATGTGTCACATTTTGTATAGTAAAAGCAAAGGGCATGAAATCTATAGTGTATTGTAGTGACAATTACTTGATCAACACTGGGATTCACTTTTTGTGTCAGTTTTTTTTTTTTTTTTTTTTTTTTTTAATTCTTAATTTCTTGAATGATGTATAATATTGGCAATGTGCTAATTATCATTTACGTGCAGGAATTGTTGCTGATTCAAATGCTTATGACCAGAGCAAACGGATGCGGACTGGCGGTGATTATACACATACTGGGTACTCTAGCCCCTCTCCTTTTCACCCCCCTCCTGCACCAGCTTGGGGGCCACCTGCGTAAGAGTACTCCTTTCTCACAAAAAATTGCAGCACTATCTCCTACAACTTAATTGAACCGCACTAAATTTAAGTCTTAAGGATGACTTGTTGTCATACTTGTAATATGGACCTGATTAGTGATATGGCTCAGGTACATGACTCCACCACCTCAACCATATGATCCATATACTGGTTACCATGTTCCTCCTGTGCCAATGCCTGTTCCTGCTCCTATGCCTGCAGCACCAAGCAGCTATGTGCCTGTCCAGGTAATGTGTCATGCAATGGCTCTGTTTTTATGTTTTTGTTTCTGGAAGTTGTTGATGAATGAGCCATTTTTCTGGAGCTGTGTTTAATTGCTAATAATGATTGATTTACTCTTGTAGAATACAAAAGATAATCCTCCTTGCAATACCCTTTTCATTGGCAATCTTGGAGAGAACATAAATGAGGAAGAGTTGAGGGGCCTGTTCACTGTGTAGGGATTTTGCATCTTCATCTAATTGATCTACATTATGTACAAATTTGTGCACACCTGTTATTGACTGGATTTGTTTGTTTCACCCAAAAATTGTCTGACAGGCAACCTGGTTATAAGCAGATGAAGGTATTGAGACAGGAAAGGCATACTGTATGTTTCATTGAGTTTGAAGTAAGTTTATGACGGCTACACTAATGAAGTTTCTTTCAGATGCTTGCTCTATTAATCTGTATGCAGCTTCTGTTATCTATGTTGTTTGAAGTCACATCATTTTGCAGGATGTGCAGAGTGCCACCAATGTGCACCATACCTTGCAGGGTGCTGTTATACCTAGTTCTGGTGCTGTTGGCATGCGGATTCAATATCCTTTCTCCATTTGAGACATCTTAGAACTTGAGTTTTAAGTGCTTTTTTTCAGACATTCACAATATTTCTTACCTATGGCTTTTGTTGGCAATTATCTCTGTTAATTTGATCTCTTTATTATATTTGGTATCATGTCCACTCTTTATTTAAGCAAAATTCACACTGAGAATTAGGGCAGCTTTTTAGTTTCCTTTTTTCCTATCCTGATCTCTCTTCTTGCACTTGGTTTTTGGTCAAGAACTATCACACTTAAGGGGGTAAATTTGAAAGGCACACACTCTTAGTATATATACCTCTTCTTTCCCATTTTATTTTATTTTAAAATTTTTTTAAGTGTCAACTTGTAACTAAATTTTTAATATGTTTTGATACATTTCAAAATTTTGATTATCCAAACAGGTAATATTTTTCATTTACTTTTGTGATATGTAGATTTTATTTTCAATCCCAAATTTTAGTCAAATTGACTGCCAAAAAAAACTTAAAAAGGGGGCTGGATTCATTATAGGTATTCATCTCAAAATGCATGCTGTATATAAGGCTTGTCACCAGTGGTTTAAGGATAAGGAGAAAAGTATAAGGCTATTTTGTAATGCCCTTCATGTAGCATTATGTCAATTATACATGTTTTTTACACAGATGTTTTATACATGGACGCCCGTGGTTTTCCTTAACATCAAGTTACATATTCAAAGAATCCATTTGGAAAAAGGAAGGATTTCAATCACATTTCCCCTGCTGCAAATGGAGCTCCACCACCTATGACCTACCAGTAGCTGGAAGGGGATGTATTCTGTTCTCTATGCTCTGACAAATACAAATCCTTACATGATAGGATGCATCATGGACAGCTGTTGCATGCATCCATGTAATCATCAAGTCATCAGCATTAGCATCTCTTCTCATGTGAATGAATGCAAACTGTTGCATCATGAACATATTCTTGGACCATCTTATAGTTTACCCAGGGCATGCATTTGAAGCAGTGGCATGGCAAGAAAAGCTAACTTCATTGGTTCATGTTTTTGCAACATATTATATTAAGGATGCATGTAATTTTTAGTGTAGAAATTATGTGATTTGACTTTGCACTATGCCATATTTACCTAAGATGTCATGAATGCTTCCTTTCTTAGATGTATTGATGTCTTTCATACCATTTTTATTGTCCATTTTTAGTTTATTTAGGCAACTAGCAAACATGCCATTCCACAAAGCTTGATCCTACAGCAATGTCATTAACATATCATGGTACTAATTGACTAGCAACCTATATCATGATCTTGTTTACCACTAGATTTTTTCATGCTATTTCTATCGTGATTAATGAGAAAATTATCATCTACATCATGATTAGCTATTATCTAGATACCTACATTATGGTCATGATTACCAATGGAGATCATACATTTCTACCATCATAGGTTCATTATAGTTTGGGTCCATTAACCCCCCATCAATTCAATCTTATAGAACACCCGTGTCCAGGTCTTCAAAGAATCTTCGAAAATCCAGTCCATGTTCATTTTTGCAGGGACTTTTTACAAACTAATGCAACCTCCATCCGAGTCAGGGATGCAAAGTCTTCTGTCAGGTATATTAAATTTCTCTAGATGATGGAATTTTGTTGGAATGTAGCATTTTGACTTGGAGCTCTTTAAAGCTTGCCTTTGGGAGTTTTTAATTTTTTTTGACTGAAGATTGCTCTGATCTCTTTTGGGGGGCATAGCTAAGATATACTCATATACTATGTTATATAGTTGATGCTTATTTTCCTCTTCAGTCACGTCTGACTAAGCAACAAATGCTTTCCCGTGGTGGAGTTATAGTAACTGATGTACAACTTTTTTTTTATACTAGTTATTAAACCTGGATATGGATATGTACTGTTAGTGAAGAAACTGGGATATTATTTTGGGTGGTTAACATCCTATTTTTTTTTTTTTTAGTGAGAGTGTACATTGGGTAAACCTCGATTTGTAATCCTAGCTGGCAAAGAACCAAAAAGAAGGTAAACCAACTTCGGTTGCTGGCTCAAACCAAAAAGGTCAATAGGCCACTCCCAACGCCACTCCTGTTGGGAGTCGAATTGTAACCTTGTGGTTACCTAGTCAACAGCTTAACCAATTTGGGTGGAGTTTGCCCCCAATATCCTCCTTTTTGCTAACATTAACTGTGGATCTTCTAATGGTATTTTCGGTATTGATTGCTGCCTGTTTTGAGTTAAAGATGTGTTTGAATAATAATCTTTGATACTCTTCTTACTTCCTACTGATTAATTATATTGCAAGACATTACTGTGACTGAACTGAATTTTGGACTAGTATGCACTGTTGTGTTGATAACAGGTTCAGGAAATTTGGCATGCCAACCTATAAGTTGCCAATGGGTGCTTTGTGTTGAATTAGGTGAGTTAGAATGTAGTAGTGAAAATTTGTATGATTTTAGCTTTCCCACACTAGTAGTTATGGGCTAAATTGTTGTCAACATTTTACTTTCATTGGACTACAGCTCAAATGTATTTCTACCTGCTTTTATAATTTTTATATTTATTATTAATGAATATATTAGTTTGGAAATGGCAACCGTTTCATTATATTTTGTAGAAGGATTGAAAGGAATACAATAATCATGATACATATGGCTTTTATTATTATTATTATTTTTTTGAAAATGGCTTTTATTTATTTATAATCTAGTTTTTCTTTTTCTGTTTTCGGATGGGAGAAATGTATAACTGTATAAGTAATCGGAAATGTTTTCTATTTTTCTTTTATCCATTTTTATTTTTATTTTTCAGTAAACATACTATTTTCCTTGTAATATTGAAACCACAACTATGTCAGCCTCATGAAAAGGACCAATTCAAAATGTTATTCTTTCTATTTTGTTTTACTTTGTATGATTCTTTGCTTTATTTTCTTAAGCATTTTTTAATTATTTTAATTATTTTTATTTTTGTTTAATAATACTTTTAATGTACTAAACTTAACAATATGAAAAAATTAAATTGTAATAATTTTAATTTTCATTACTGAACTAGATATTTAAAATGAGAAACGAGACACTTAAATGGAGATGATGTGAGGCAGAGCCGGAGGGAGTATTTAATATATGAAACACATCCTTAATCTCATTACACTTAAGTACAAAATCTACAAATAATTTTTTTCCAATTCAAAATGCCCCCAAATACTAGAACACATTTTCTTAGAAAGAAAAAAAAAATTTAAAATTCTTGAATGCCTCTCACTTTTAACGGAAAAAAAAGTAAGAAAAAGAATAGAAAGCTGAGGAGAAGGTATGAGTTCTCTATTATGGAGACAAGAAATGGTTAATCTAAAGGTGATGAAAATGAGGTCCGCATATACTTTACAACGGTGTAACCATTATTATTATTATATATCCTCAATAACTCCCGTGGGATCTAACAGAAGATACTGATTGAGCTGAGACAGAAGCAGTCGGGCTGTTCAAATCTCGTTCCCCGTTTGCAGCTTTAGGCTTTCCACTCAGCTTATCCATTGCATCCTGGCACACCTCGCTGAACCACTCGTCCTCTGGAAGCTCACTGCAATACATTTCAATGGTTAATACATCTGTGAAGTCATACATGTACTAGCCATTGGCATGGCGCGACAACTGAAAATAATGGGAACTTATTATTGTCTAAAGATTCAACGCCTGTTATTACTCTTCCTCCCGAATGTTTCTAATGCTTGTAACTAAAATGTGTTACGAACTAAAAGGAGACTAATTTGGTCGTCTTAGCTACCCGTCGGGATGTGTGGCCACATTTCACTGGTTTCTAAAATACTATGCAAACACATTGTATATGAGAAAAACAAAAAAAAAAACAAAACAAAAAAAAAAAAAAAACAAAAAAAACAAAACAAAACAAAAAAAAAAAAAAAAAAAAGCATTGGCTGCTGACCTTTTCTCCTCGTACATTCTATGGTTCAACTGTCACGCGACTAATTATTTAGATTTTACTTTAAGGAGATGGGTTTAAGTGAATATGGCAATGCAACTAGGAATAGGATTCTGGAGGTCATAAAAAAGCTAGCTATGGTGTTTACTCGAGAAAACCTTGCAATTAACAAAATCCATGATTTTTTTAACACATCCGATGCAGGTCAAATTCTTTATGAGATAAAGCTTTTCAAGACTTCTTGTTTTACAATTTCTAAAAATAAAATTTAATAATATAATTATGCATTCTAATAGGAGGACTGAATACGATTGTCACAAAGATCAAGGGATTGCAACTGATTACTAATTTTGATAATGCTACTATAGTTAAGACTTTTCTCATTATCATTCAACTCCAAAACTATTTTAAAGTTTTAAACTTTTAGTTAGTATCATTTCATCAATCAGCTTAACCTTGGCTGGTTGAGGAAACATGGAAGGTTCAAAGATGTGTGATACCCCAAACCGAAACATAAAAAGGAATTAACCAAATGGATGGGTTCTAGATAAAGTAATTTGCATACCTGTATGGATCCATCCCAGTTGCAGAAAATGCAGACATTGCTTTAGATATGATATCATTGACAACACGGAGCAAATTCCTAGATAAGTAGCGGCCTTGTGAAGCAAAGCATCTGACAAATGTCATATCCATATACAACTGCCACAAAGTTGAACAAGTATTAACATACAGCTCCTGAGCCAGCATTGTATAAAAGTTTTAGATAATTAATGTGAATATGAAGTATGTAAACCTGCTGAAGACCAAGAGGACCTAAAGGCCTCGGTCCTTCCTCAATATCATCCCAAAAACTCTGGTCTTGTGAAAGCCATAAGATGACAGTTTCAGTGAGCCTCATCAACAACAATGTTGCAAATCTTTCCCGGCCCACGAACATATCTGCGGCTATGGCTGCAATTCTGTTGAGTTTTACATAGAGTTCCTGATGGTATCATGATCAATCATATAAAGTCAATGAAATGCCTCTCTTTTCATGTATTAGGATACAAACTTAATAAAGAGAACCACAATAAAAAGATCACTATCTCTTAAGTTGGCCCAATAATAATAATAATAATAATAATAATAAAAACAATGGTTAAATTAAAGTTTATGATAAAATGGGATAAAAGATATACCTGGAATATATAAGAAGGGAACCATTCCATCTCATCTGCATTACCATCCATGTTTATATACATATCCGCAGTAAGATGGCTGTCTCCTTCCTCAGTAAAAATAAGATCCAGTGCATGTTGTTGACAAAAACTATCTTTTAATCTGTCAACAGTACTAACAAGACGCCTTTTCCATTCTCTTTGCTCAGGATGTCGGGTTTGCCTATCAGATCTTCGTTGAGGTTCATCCTTGTGATTACCCTGATTGAAGGAAAGCTTCATGGCAGCACGTGGCAATAGCTCGTCTGCTAGTAATGATGCATTTGCAAGTAAAGCAATTTGCTGAGCTTCAGTCTCAGCCATTCGGACAATTTTATTACCTGAACCTTCAATGCTCACCTCTTCTTCCAAAGAACCAGGTAATGCTTTTATTAGTGTATTAACATAAGAGTTGAAGACCTGAAACAAACCTTCCAAAGCTTTTCCACCCAACTGCATACTTAGCAAGGGTCCCACGTCCTCAAAGAAATCCTGCACAAGCAATTAGAGTAACTAGATTCAACCACATATCTCCAAATGTATTGCAAGTACTAGCAGCATACATCTACACGAAATCTCAAAAGTAGTAACAACCTCCTAGTTATGCCACTATGTTAACAAACATGATATTAGTAAATGAAGCAAAACCAAATAAGATCTGACTTTCAACATATGATTATAGTAATAAAACATGTATCATGGCACTTCATTTCTTTTTCTTTTTTGAGTGGACAGTCAAAAGGAAGCATAGCAGCATTTTAGTATAAAAATAAAAAAGTATAATTATTGCAGAATAATAATCAAGTCAAAGAACACTACATAGAAAAAGTTGGAAACATATAACATTATAGCTACATGCTAACAAACAATATGGTAGAGGGAAGGCAAACTTTATTTGAAATCCAGAGATGTCTATCAATATCCTAACACTATAAATATGAAAACTCTACAAGGTTTTGATTGAAATGAAAGGAATACAAGAAACAATGGGGAAGGAAAGTGTAACT